AGGAAGGAAGGAAGGAAGGAAGGAAGGAAGGAAGGAAGGAAGGAAGGAAGGAAGGAAGGAAGGAAGGAAGGAAGTTATCAGTGTCAAGCAAGGGGGAAGGGCTAGCTTCCAGCCAGGAGGCTTACCTCCTTACCCATGCCAGCCCCTTAGATGATACTAAATAAAGTTGAGTGAGCTTTCCTCATCTTAACCATGAGTGAGCGAGTGAGACCAAGCTCCTTCAATGAGGAGAGAACAGAGACTTTGCGCAAAGCTGAAATTGTGCAACCATGACATAATGTTCAAAAGGGTCCCTTGCCTGCCTGCTGTGGGGAGTATTTCTGTGCTTTGCATGTTAATGGGGACTCTGTGTGTGTGTGTATGTGTGTGTGAATGAAAGAGAGAGAAAGAGAGAGAGATTCAGTTCCCTTCATGATCATAGACGCAAAACACATTTGAGCTTCGCCTTCATTTATCCAGAGAAAGGGCTTTGATGTTCAAAGACATCCCGTTCTGACCTGTTCCTGCACCACCTCAGTAACTGGTAGAAAATTTCCTGCTAGCATCTGGAGAAGGAAGAGTGGCAAAATCAGAGGGCAAACCAATCATTTTGCTACATGCAACTTGCAGCTACATCATCAGGACAGCTGAGGTACATGGAGACATGATGGGGATGGACACTGATTCAGCACATTTCATGCTGGCATAATTTTCTGCTGAGTCAAGGATGGGCAGAGAGCATTTCAACCCTATAGGAAGAAAGACCCTGAGAAGTTCGTAGCTTTTCTGGTGTTTTTCTCCTTACCCTGAGCCCATCCAAGGCCCACCTCCCAGTCTACAAAACGTTTGGTGCTTTGTCATCCATCACCTTGGAGGGAAGGGAGTGGCTTGAACTACGGGCAAGAAATGGGTTGGCAGTGAGAGGAATGGAAAGCCAGGCCTCCTTTTGCAGAGTCAGCCCCGTGCACAGTCTACGGCATGCTTTCCAGAAATGAGCTGCGCTAAGCAAGAAGAGAGTTGTTGAAATTGCCTTTAGAACTCCTGGCTCAGAGGAAACTCAGCTGTCAGGAAAGAAAGGGGAAGAAGGAGGAAGGTGTCTCTTGGAAAAGAAAACAAGAGGGGAATGGTCAGGAAAGGAAAAAAGCCAGAACACCTTTTAACCATTAAGATTTATTGTACATATCACACTGTACTCTGCTCAATAAACGAGGAAGTAAAGCAGTGGCTTTTTCGTAGGCTTGTATACTGTAGGTGATTTATAATGAGGTAACTGGAAACAGGGTGATTGCAGCAACACAAGCTTGGCTAAGGCAGCATTTACATGCAACATGTACATTTTTATACATTATACAGTACATCACGTATATTGAATGAACCTCTGCAGTTGCTTTACATCTTCAGAGAACTATTCAGTTTCTTATGAGTATGAATTAATAGCATAATAAGTGAATGTTACATATTTCATTTTGGGAACAGTCGAGATGGGATGGAAGACAACAAATGTATGACTGATTTATCACCTGCCATCTCAGTGTCAAGCTGCTTGTTTTGCACGGGGAAAGTAAGTTGTTATGAAATGGTAGAGAGTTTCACTGAGGATCATCCTCACATTCCCCTAACCAAAGCATGAACATGCCTCGCTAACTATTGTCATATGACATATCCTCATGATGTTGCCTTTATCTCATCTCCAGCTCTAGCTGAGGCAACTCAAAGTCATTTTTACCAGGTCCAGTTTTAAAGGAGTGTTTTCCTTCTTATCCAACACAATTTTTGCAATGAACATGATCTAAGATGTTTCACTGACAATGTGGTTGATGACTCTATCAGGGGTTGGGATCTGCCCAGCTCCTGCTGATTTTTTGCTGCTGCGGTCACACACTTCCTCGCTTCCAGTTGCAAGACTCAGCCCCCCATGGCCTATTTGCTTTGGGCTGCAGGAGAGACCAGATACCTGGTTCCACAAAGGTACCTGCCTCCTTAATACCTGACTAGTACTTTCAAAAGCACCTGCTGGATTTGGCACACTAGATCCATGTTCAGAAATAGCCTGACTGACAGGTCATAGACACAAAGCACCTCTG